ATTATATTATAATAGAAGTATAGTTAGGGACCGTTAGGGTTACGATAGGAATACCCTAAAGCTAGTTAAAAAAAAAAGGAAAAACCCAACCCGAAGGCTAGTAAAAAACCTAAAAAAAAAATTACTATTCCTCTACCTATACTATCACGGCCCCTTTAAGGCGTCCTTAAACCCCACTAACTTATCGTCTAGAGGGGTAGGCTCCCGCCTAGCCACCTTATTACTATTATCCTCTATATATACCTAGCTCTACCCCGTGGTAGTAGCCGCTATTCCCCCCTTTTATCTATTACCCGCGGATAGTATCGAAGGCCGAAGAGATAAAGGCGTCTTCGCCTTCTACTTCTTCTTCTTCTTCTCTAATAAAGGAGTCGAGGGCGTTAAAGCCTTCTTCCCTTTCTTTACTAATAAGGCCGGCACTATATCGATATTATCGGGCACTTCGTAAGGGTCCGGCGGACCTTATAGACCTTACGGTATTATAACCCCCGATAGCGAGCCTTAAGGTTATATAGAGCCACCACCGTCGCTAAATATATCGTTACCTATAAAGCTAACTCCCGCGGGGGCTAAGGTAGACCCTAAAGGCGTAGGTAAGTCTTCCTAGGCCTAAGCCTAGGCTAGGTTAAGAGTAGCTATTTACTTAAAAGTAGTAGCTATCCGCTCCTAGGCCGCGAGATCGCGCCCGTATAACGTAAGACGTTATTATTTAATATTAAGGCATTTCTGCTTAATAGTAAGACGCTACTATTATGGCCCGACGAATTACTTAAGAAGCGACTCTATACTATTAAGCCTTTTATAGATACCTTCCGCCGTTTTCTAGCGGGCGTCGGTAACTTCCTTAGCTTAACGCCGAGTAGTAATAGCTTCCTTAGTAGCCGACCGGTTACTCTCCTATATTAATTAACCCAGAGCCTCCCTAAGGATAACCTAATATTAAACTATTATAGCCTAGTATTATATAGGATTAGTAAAGTGACTATATAGGACTAATAGAGGAATATAGTCGATAGAAAGGATTATAACACTTATACGACGACTCTTATTTAGGCTATATTTCTCGATAGTGATAACTAAAACCTTTTATAGCTATTTAGCAGCATTCTTACCGGTAATAGGGAGCTATTATAGATATTAGAAGAATAGGCCTACGGAGTAGTCTATAAAGGAAGGGGGTATAGCTATAGGGATATATAACTTACTACGCGGTATTTAAGGCTATTATACTTAGAGTAGTAATAGTATTTATTTATACGCCGGCCGTTATCGGCGTGACGGTATATCTCGGCCTTAATAGTATGCGTCTTCTCTTTAAAATTAAGCGCTACTAACTTACCCACGTAACGTATATAGGGGGCCCTTAGATCCCCGCTTATACCGATATCTATAACCCTCTAGCGTAGAGCGACCGACGACGTAGTAATTAACGACGACGTAGCCGTAGTAAGAGTAAGAGGCTTTAGTATAGCCGGAGCGATAACCTATAACGAGGTAGGCTATATAGCCGACTATATAGTAGATAGCCTAGCGGACTACGAGGTCGACACTATAACCACGATCTTAATCCTCTTAAAGGACCGTGTTATACTCGCGGGAGTAGCGACGCGCTTATTATTATTATTATCTTCCTAGGAAAGTATAGTAACTATACTATATTATATAGTTAGCTAGTATTATAGACCTAAGATGGCTAGGAAGCACTTATAAGATAGTAATTAGTTAATTAATTAAATAATTAAGACTATAAATCGTTAGCACGCGGTATCCTGAATTAAGTAGAACTTACCGAGAGAGGTAGTATAATCGAAAGATTAAGTATAAAGGAGGAAGAAAAGAATAAGAAGAGGGAATAATAGCAGGTTATAAGATATCCCTAAAGCAGTTATATAGGCACTTATTTTTAATATAAAGAAGGAAGCTACGAAACTCACGGAAAGAGTAATAACGGGCTCTATATAATACTAGCTTCGGGAGTCTTTATAGATAGATTAAAGGGATAACCTAAGAGGATAAAGGGGCAGATTCGACGGCCCGGAAAGGAACCTCCCTAGAACCCCTTAGGTTCCTGGTAAGAGTATAGCTATAGGTGAATTAATAGGACTCGGCCGCACATGGCGCTAGATTCGGAAGTATAAAAGGAAGTGGCTCTTATTAGTGGCCTTAGTCGATAGGTAAAGGGAGAAAGGGTATACCCAGATCAGAGCCATAGCTAACGGGGCTCCGTATAGGTACTAGGCGGGAACCTATTAGGGTCCTATCGTGGAGGGCTCTAGTTCGGGGTATTAAGGGACTCGGGATTTAGGAACAGACTTAGAGGCTAGATCTCGGGGGAGCTAAGGGGCCGGTATAGATTAGGCGCTCCTAAGAATAGGAGTATCCGGGGAAGGTCGCTATATCAGGTGCCTATAATAGTAGTTATAATAGGTCCCTAGTATAAACCTATAGGGGTCTAGGTATGCCTAGTCTAAGACCCCTCTAGGCATAAACAAAGTAAGTTATTATATAGTAAACAGAATAGTCCCTCGAAGCAAATAAAGTAGCCCTCGAGGAAGTAAATAAGCAGTCCTTAAGGAGTAGAGCGTAGTCTTAAGGAGCGAGGGAGCCTCTCCTTTAAAGAGGGAGGCCAGCGATTAATCTAATTCTTTAGCTATACCCACGTTCTAACCCTATTATAATCCTATCGTGATTATACCTGGTTCCTTACTTGACCCTACCTTTTTACTCTTTGCGACTACTTATTTAATACCTACGCTTCCACCCTCGCCGGCAGGACCTTTAGGTCGTTAATAGCTATTACTGCCTATTTTAACCTAGAGACACGTCAGCTTAATACCGTTAACGCCTTTACTAACGCCACCCTTAATAAAGAGATCTACGCTAAGGATCCGCCCGGCTAGTTGCTACTTTAAGCAGTAAAAGGTATAAAGAGCGACGAGGACCTCGAGGCTATTTTAAAGCTATCGCGACTACCTTTACGCGGTATATAACGTCTACGCAGGGCGTTATATAGTCTTCGGCGTTCCCCTAAGCTATAGCACGAATAGCTCTCTTTAGTTTTAGATAAGTACGACCTAAAGTAACTGACCGAAGACGATTACGTCTTTAAAAGCAAGGAACTAATCGTCTTCTTTTACGTGGACGATATTATTTTGATCTATAGGAAAGAATATTAATCTGCTGCTAATTCTCTTATATAACGGATATAGCAGCACTTTTAAGTAAGGGACCTAGGCCTACTTAAGTGGTTCCTGGGGATTAGGGTGGTTTAAGATCGCTAATAACGTCGGCTATAGCTTTCCCTCGAGAACTATATCACCGAAAAGATTAAGGCTTTAGGGATGGATTTCCCCGTTAATAGGCGTAGGGTTAAAAGCCCTCTTCCTTTTCCTAACGTTTTATAACCCGTAACCGAATAAGCCTCTGTAGATTTAATCTACCTATATCTACGGAAGGTCGGTTCTATTAATTACGCGGTCTATTAGACCCGGCCTAACGTATCTAAAGCTGCTTCAAGGCTTACCGAGTTGAACACTAACCCGTTAAAATAGCATTATAATACCGTAGATAGGTGTTTAAAGTACCTGGCCTTAACTAAGTCCCTATGCCTTTACTTTAGACTACGCGATAACCACCTATAGTACGCACTTTACTATACTTCCGACGCGGCGTTTAGGGACGACCGTAAGACTCGGTATAGCTCCTAGAGCTATACTATACTATTATTTAGTGGCCCCGTGGACTAGAAGGTAAATAAGCAAATAAGCGTCGTGACCTTTAATACTAAAGCCGAGCTTATAGCAGTTTCTGCTGCTACTAGGTAGTATATCGCGATAAGGCGTTTAATTAAGGATCTAACCTTAACCTTTAAGGAGGAACCACTAACGATATACTACGATAATAACTAAATAAGGATCCTGTTAGAGGCTCTACGCCCTTAGGTTATATCTAGATTAAAGTATCTAGATATCCACGCCCTTTAAATCCGATAGGTCGTTTAATAGAGGAAGGTCCTAGTCGCCTAGATCTCGACCTAAGAGATAGTCAGCGATAGGCTAACTAAAGTACTTCTCCCGCAGAAATATAACGCATTTATATATCTGTTAGGGATAGAGGTTCTAAGCCAGGGGGCTTAAGGTAATTTATAAGAGGCGCGGTGCTAAGTTTATAATCTGCAGCCTAGATTAACCGTTGTTTTGGTGCCCTTTAGATTGTTATTTGGGCACCCGTTTTTGATGTTTTGACGTTGTTATGGGGTTAATTTGACCACCTGTTTTTACACGTTTTTAACGTTTTTAGGTATAAAAAGAGCGCGCTTTTTAATAAGCCGTTCTTCAATCGTTGGATTAATATCTAGGCCTCTATTTTACCCTAGATTTACGGCTTTAATTAAGCAGAATGGTCAGGATTAATCCTACAGTTCTGGGGGGGTGTGTTAGATGCCTATAGCCACCTTATCGGGGTGTGACTTACGCCATTCCTGTAAACGGATAGGGTACTTCCGACCGATATATCCATATTAATTTCCCCTCCTTTTACTTTATAGTTAGATATTTCCGCAGAGTATCTTTTACTCTTCTTTAATACACACACACATCTTTTGCGTACCTTATTTGTGTACTGACAATTACCAAGGTAATTGCCTTCGTTACCTCACCCTAGGTAAATCACTAATTTAACGCCCTATATTCCTTTCGCTCTTCCGCTTCCTCCCGATATTAGCGGGTATCTTTATCAGTGCTCTATATTATCAACGTATCTATTTTATATTGTCTAAAAGAAGACCTCTAATATAGGTAGTAATATTATATATAAGGTAGGTCCCTTATAAATACACTATATCTAACTTTAAAGTGGATTCTAAGTGCCGAGTATCTAAATGTACCTGCGCCCTAGTGAGGCTCTTACCTAATTAGATACATCTGGGCGTGGGTCCACGCGTCGGCCCGTGTAGTTACAGTACCGTAGGTAATCATAAAACTCACGACTCCCAACGACCATAACGCGAGAACGAAACCATCGCCGGTCAACTCTCCAATTATTACTGCACATATACAAGGACTCCGTGGATTGTAAAAACGCCGACACACACTATTCCTACGGAGTACCCAGTTCGAGGGCTTGCTTCCTCCGGCAATCATGACATCCCAGCCCACCGTCTCTGAGGAGCTCCTCTCAAAGCTCACCTGCACCCTGGAGCTAGACCTACACGGAATGATACGGGACATCCCCCCAGCACTCCCTTCAGCCATACGACGTGACTCTGCTTGTTCATCGCTTGGCTCACTCGACATCCTTCCCGCCGAGCTCTTGCTGCTCACCTGCAACCTCCTGGACTTCCAGTCCCTGTCTCGCGTCTCCCGCGACTCTGTGAAGGGGAAGGAGGTCGTGGAGGCCTTGCCAGCGTACAGAGACGTAATAGACCACGCGCCCGAGGTACTGACTGCGCTGGGAAAGACACAACTGCTCCGCTATCATTCCGCGCCCTTGCTGCGCCAAACCCTTCGATCAGGCACGTGCGCCTCCTGTTCCGACTTTGGCGGCTTTCTGTTCCTGCCCACCTGCGAGAGAGTCTGCTTCGAATGCCTGCACCAGAACCGTGCATTCCGGATGACCACCCTGGCCACTGCCAAGCAGTGCTTCGGTCTGACGTATAGCCAGCTGAAGAGGATTCCCATACTACACAGCATACCCGGCACGTACTCGGTTAGGTTCCAGGTCTCGCGCCGGCGGGTTTATCGTCTTGTGTCCGTGAAACAGGCGAAACGGCTGGGGGTCGAGGTCCACGGATCGGTCGAGGACTTGGCCAAGCTCGTGCCGGCAAGGCGCACCGTAAAAATGACCACGAGGCAGTTCTGGGTCTTCAGGCGTTTTCACGAGGCACCGCGGGAACCTCCGGGCTGCGACTTGTCAAGACACATGGTGGAGGACGATTTCGGCGGCGTGGCCTCCCTCCGCTTCCCTTACTTGACGGAAGCCGGGGGGGCAGACTACGGACGCCTATGTCGAGGATGTCGTCTTACGTACGACCATTATCGGCAAGGCGAACTGCCCACTACCGTGCTGTCGGAACTTGCCCCGCCAGGCGTCGATCCGCACCGTCCACTTATTGCGGCAGTGTCTCGGCTGCGGTCGAGGGAAGGCTTCTCAGATCATATCGGACACTGCTACGGTGCCCGTCGACTGCTTGCAAAGTGGGGAGAAGTCCGAAAGTATCACGGCGGATATTGTGTTCTGGACATCTATGAGCAGGTTGTCAACAGGAAATCTGGAGAAGCTGCAGGCCAGAACGCCCCGCAAGATCGCCTGCCATTAAGCTATGAAGTTCTCAGATGTTTTCATACGGTCGACGTGAACGTAGAGGATCGCCCGGCCCTCCGGCCTCTACTCTCCGTCCGCAACCAACACTACCGCACCGCGTCTCTTTCCTGTCTCCTCGGCCAGCTCAGCGGTCAGCCCCTCAAGCTCCCGCCGGGCTTTATCCTCTTCATACGCCTCGGCATGCTCGAAACCAATCACTTTGATCGCTTGACTGACAAATATACCAGACCAGGAATCTACTGTGCCGATCAAGGAGCCATGTGCTCCCAAGACTACATTATTTACAGATGTGGATGTGTCAACAAGGGCGCATTCAGACAGTGCGATGTGAATACGACGCTCAATCCAACTTGCAGTGCGATGGCCTGGGACGAACTAACGATGAGTTACGCAACTACTGCTCCAAGCACTTGGTGAAGGAGAGTAAGGCGAAGGATGAGTTTAGAGACCGCGTTCCACGGTAAAGCATGGATTACCATCACCAGCCTCTGTCATGTTAGAGCACAGATCATGGTGGTCATGGCGCCTCTCATTGTTCGTGACGGTAGATATCAAACACAAGAGCTATGTAATAAGTATGTGGCTGAGAACGAATGAAGCGCCCGCCTTACCTCCGGACTTGGTCATCGCGAGCGTCGTTGGTGGTCTCCCAGTGACCCCATATACCTAATCTACCCCGCCTATAACTTCGCCTATAACTTCGCCTATAAGTTAGCCTACAAGTTGGCCCACGAGTTAGCCCACATCCAAGCCCACCCCCCCCCTCCCCTTTATCTTAATGAGGTCTGCCGTGGTGTAATATAAACGCTACTGTAACTGCAGTGGGCGAAAATAGGCCAAGCCAAAATAGGGACCTTAATAAACGCCTTCCAAGGATAACCGTTATACTAACCATCGTGGCGATATCGATAAATAACGGAGTTAGTAGTTAACGGCGTGGAGGGAGGACTAACGGTAAAGGTAGGTGGAGGTAATAAGCAGGCGGATACTTATAATATAACACGATAACCATAATAGTATTTAAGGGTTAAGAAGAAAAGAGCTTTAGAAGGGTAAGGCTATCTATAGCTAGGAATTTACTAGATCGAATAGAAAATAGAGTAGTGCGTTAGTTAAGCGGGGCTTATAACAATTAGAATAATCGGGTTAAGGTATACGCGAGATTATCTCTATTATATTCCTCTAGACTAAGAGCGTATACCTGGGTATAATATATATACTAAGCTATAGGTGTAGAGTGGCCTATATCAAATAAAGCGTAGTCAAAATCGTTATAAAATAGGTTAAAATTAATTAAGGCAATTATATACAATTTGTTCCTATTTCAGACTATTAGGGAAACGCTGCCACCGTATTTTATATAGTGCAGATTCTATAAGCGTCCACCCGGATTATACTCTTAGTAATCTATAAGGAACTAAGTGGTATTATAGATTAGCACTATATATAATCGGGGATACGCTCGGATCGCCGAGCACTCGGCGAGACTAAAATTACTATATTAGCGTAGAGGGGGAAAAGTCCCCTTTTCCTCCTTAAGTTAAAGTCATAATAATATACGACTATTAAGTCCGAACTATACCCTCCGCTACGGTATATCTTTTCCCTAGTATTATAGCCTATTCCTTAATAAATTCTTTAACTTCTATACCTATAAGGTTACCGGGCCGAAGATAGTATTAAAACGGACTTTACGAAGCACTGCCAACGCCGCGCGGGCGGATACGGGCGTGTAATAAGAAGAGCCTATTCGAGGTATCGAAGAGCGTTAGGACTAATGGGATAATAATAACGATACGGCCTCGTCGTTATCCCTTAGTTCGGTGCGAACGCGGATATTATCTATAGATAGTCGTCTATGAAGACTCGATATCGAATAAGCGAGGAGCGCCGAACGGTTAGCGAGCTACGCGTCTTCCGACTATATAGGGGGACCGTCCCCGACCACTACTAAGAACCTATTCGCCCTACTAACGCGTTAGGTATAGTAGTAGCAAGAGTTTAACCAGTAGATACAGAGGCAGAATAAAGCTATCCTATAAAGGCTTATCGAACGCCCGGCGATAAAGCGCGAATATAAGAAGCCACCGGTCTATAACTATAAGACCCTAAAAGAGAACGCGACTATTACTAAGATTAACGACTAGGTATCCACGGTTAAGGCCGGAAACCGTTTTCGGGTAAAGGCCCCCGTGCTTTAGCTAATTAAATAGGCTTTAACTAAGCTAGAACGATTCTATGAGATATCGTGGCGGAGCTATAAACGGAAGCTCTTATCGCCTATATATAATAACTTTAAGGCGTTGATTCGGCGAGAACACCTATCCCGCGACTTATAGCACTTCTACTACCGGGAGGAGCTATATAAATTACGTATTATCGGCGAGATAACGCCAATAAAGTTATTCGAATAATGAAATAACTACTATCGCCTATTAGGGTAAAAGACGCACGGTAGCGAAAAGCGTGCGTACGACTATTTTCGATAACTACCCGTACGGTTCCGCGATAAGCTTCGTGAGCGGCGGGTTAAGCTTAAAGAGGCTTATACGGTAATGTAGGAGGCGTAGTTACTTTAGGAGATATACTCCCCGAATAATAGGTCTAATAGCCGGAAGAGGTCTTACTCCTACTATTAGAAGGATAACCCGTCGTAGAGGGGACGGTATCTATCCGCTAAACGGTCGGAAAACACCGCGAAAGGGCAGTAATAAGCGATAAAATCTTTATCGTTAATAACCACGCCTAACGCCTAAAAGACCTTTAGGTTAGATAAACCCTTTAATAAGGAGTGCTATAACTATAGTAAAAAGGGATACCGGTTTAAGAACTACTATAGTAAAGACCGTAAGGACGGTAGTAAGGGCTTAGCGAAGAAAAACGCTAATATAAGTAATATTTAGGTCTAGGGGGAATTAGCCCTCGACGACGATATACGGATTACTAAGATCCTTAATAGTCCGGGAAATAAATCGGCGTAGTATAGGGGGTAAGCATTATATCCGTAGAAGCCCCGAAATAGGTCCTAGTCGGTAAAGTCGCGCGAAGAGTTATGTATATTATCCGAGAAGGGCGTAAGGTTAAGCTTAGCATTAACCTTAATACGGGTATATAAGTCGATATTATTAGCCCGGCACTAATAGAACGGTTAAAGTTATAGCCGTTAGGCAGAATCCAGGCCCCGGCTCTAGAAGGTTTTAATAGCCGAGCGGCGAGTAGCCACGGAGTATATAGCTTAGCCTTTTATTTAGTAGACTCTAAGGGAAGGCCCTGACTCTTAAAGAGAGTGTTTATTTACACGGACCGGCTAAAGGGGTTAGGTTACTTACTATTATCGAATAATAGTATAGGTTAGGAGAGTATCCTAATCGATACGGCTAGCCGAATATTCGGCTTTAGACTGCTCTTTATCGCGGAACCCGAGGCCTAGGCCTAGGAGGTAATAGAGTAGAGGGCAAAGGCGTATATTATATACGTTACTATAGCCACCGCTATTACGGGTAGTACCCCGGATATGACGATTCCGTTAGTAGACGACGATAAACCACGGCCTAAAGGCGTGCGTTTGCCTTTTAGTCTATAATAGTTCGAAGATATATTTTCGGAAGAAGTAGCGAAAGAACCACCTCTATTAGAGGACGCAGAATATTCTATTAACCTATAAGAGGGAAAAGAGCCCCTATTCGGGCCCTTATACCCGCTATTACCTACGTAGCTTAAGGAGCTAAAGAAGTATATCGCCGAAGGTATAGCGAGCGGTTATATTCAGAAATCGACTAGCTTAGTAGGGTTACTAGTCCTATTTATACTAAAGAAGCATAATAGCCTTCGCCTATATATCGATTATTATAGGCTAAACGCTATCACGATTAAGAACCGGTACCCGCTCCTACTAATTAGGGAATTACTAGATCGTCTTTCGGGCGCTTAGTACTTTTCGAAGGTCGATATCCGAGACGCCTATTATAGGATCCGGATTAAGAAAGAGAACCGCTAGAAAACCGTATTTAGAACGCGGTATAGGCACTTTAAGTACACGGTTATACTATTCGGTTTAACGAACGCGCTCGCGATATTGTAGGCGTATATTTACCGAGTACTCGCCGGTTTACTTAATATCTGCTATATCGTATACCTCGACGATATCCTAATCTACTCCTGTATTAAAGAGAAATACACGAAGCACCTATAATAGGTCCTTAAAAGGTTATAGTATTACTAACTATATACTAAACTATCGAAATACGAATTTCATAGGGACCGGGTAGACTTCTTAGGGTTTATAGTAAGCCGTAAGGGTATTACGATAGACCTAAAGAGAGTATAAGCGGTAGCCGACTAGCCGGCGCTAGAATCTTTTAGGGATATATAAGTCTTCCTAGGATTCGCGAATTTCTATAGGAGATTTATTAAAGGGTACTCGAAGGTTATAATACCCCTATCCGCGCTATTAAAAGGTAGTAAGGCCGGCGTGAAAAAAGGGCTATTCTATTTTCCGCCGGAGGCTTAAGAAGCTTTTAAGAGACTAAAGGTCGCTTTTAGCTCGGCGCTTATTCTACGCTATTAGAACCCTATACTGGATTCTAGTCAAGATAGACGCGTCGGATAAAGTAGTATCCGGAATTTTAAGTTAGAAGCACGACTCGTAATAACGACTAATCGCTTACTATTCACGAAAACTCACCGATACGGAATAATAGTAGGCTATAGAATAATAGGAGTTATTAGCTATCGTGGAAAGCTATCAGAATATACAGTGCTTATACGTTACTATAGGACTAGCACCAGACTTATATATAGATAGGGGGATCGTAGTCAGGTCAGACTATTAGAGGTACGACGCGTCGAGGTTAAGTAAGCTAGTTAGCTTAGAAGTCAGCTTAGATCTAGTAAGCTAGTTAGCTTAGGAACCAGCTTACACCTAAACTTAGTCTTAAGGAGGCCTCTCGCCACCCACTTAGTTAGAAAACCTTAAGTAAGTATAAAAAGAGGAGTGCCTTCTATAGTTCCTAGAGTCTTAGAAGGACTTAACGAATAATCTTATCACGATACCCCCCCTTTAGTTCCTACCAGTCACTAAGTGATCTTATATCGTTCAGCAGTCGCCTATCACTCCTCACAGTATACCTATAACAAAAGCTTAGAGTACTAAAAACACTACCTTAAAGGTATAGGGTAGGCGTTTACGGTCCTAACGGACTATAAAGCCCTAAAAGGCGTGTTACGGGCGCCGGCGTAAGACCTTCGCGGAAGGCTTACTAGATAGGTATATCGACTTATATCTTTCGATTTCGAAGTATAGTATCGCCCGGGAAAGATAAACCCGGCGGATAGTGTATCTAGGAGACTAAACTATATAGGGGGGGGAAATATCCTATAGCGATATCCTCCCTACCCTTTTGAGTAAGCTAAGTCTAATTAATAATATATAGGCGAGCGTTCGGCGATAGATCGTATAAATCCACGCTACCCTAGAGAAGGCGGTTCTTTTCGTATATATATAGGCCGCTAGGAGATTATTTTAGGAGAAGGACCTTAAACCTAAAAGATAACAGGTCGCTCCGCTAAGTGAAGATATCGCGTAGCTAAGCTCTAAAGCAGGGCGATAACGGTAATAGCTACCTTTAAGCCTAGAAAACGGCACCTCGTGTATCGTCGTC